TCCGTAGAAAATGCATTTTCTTGTAATTTAGAACTTATTTATCAATATACCCATGGAATATTGACATTTTAGATTATTTTTAAAGATGTACCAAATTTTTAATGAGTACAGATACTAATAGTGTCGATATAATTTGTTTATTTTATTAAAAAATAAAAAAACTGTTAAAATATTTGTTAAAGGGGACCAATTAATATGATTCCAGTATTCAGACTACATTAACTGACTGTTTGCGTTGATTAATAATAATTGCTCCAAATACTAAAAAACTGAATTTTGTATGGGTATTAGACAGTGTGATAAAAAGAAACACCTTAAAAATGATATTTCATTTTTTAATAAATACTTATTTATAACAACAGAGACTTTAATTTTGATAACTTATTATTATATTGATTTCTGACTCAAATCCACATTTATTTAGAATAATTTATTAACGAACACAATTAAGTATGTAATTAATTAGTATATGGGCGGAAAAAATGGTGTTATATTTAATTAATGGTATACTCTTTTAGTAATATTATCGTTTTGCTAAAAACGATAATATTACTAGCCTGTACATTTTGTACATTTGTTGCTTGAAAAACAATCTAAAATATCAATATTCCATGGGTATATTGATAAATAGGGTCTAAATTATAAGAAAATGCATTTTCTACGAAAACTTGAAGGGATAGGTAAAAAATGGTATAATACAATTTGATAGACAATTAAATTGTGCATCTGATTCTCTAAAATATACAGGGCGTTCCATTTAAATTAAAAGAGTTATTGGCGTTTAAAGCTAGAAATTATTTTAAATAAATTTTTAGACACTCTGTATAAGGTAGTATTATTTTTATTATTGCAACACAATAACTGATCAATAAATAAACTTCAGTAAATATTTAGTATTAAAAACTTTGATACCCTTGGAGAAATGAAGCCTTAAAATTTTTACTGCAATTTCCCAAAATTGAAAATATTTCAAAAACGGTAAGGTTTAAGTATAATAAACCTTAATCAAATTTACCTTTATTTTAATCGTAGAAACTAAAAATGTAATAATATACAGGGTGTTCCATTTAAAAAAATACAACTTTGATATTTTTTACTTATTTGGGACACTCTGTATCTTGTCAAATTATTTTTAAATTGTACCTCTAATAGTCCTTCATCGAACCCAAAACTTGAAATTTGTAAAAATATAATCGTTTAGCTACAATACTCCGTGTCGTATGTGGTGAACAACCCTGTATAATTATATCAACTTTAATTCGTAAACTCAGCTTTTTATAAACTTTAGCATTTGGCATATTATACAGAGTTAATTGTTTTTTTACCTTAACTTTAAAACACCCTGTGCAATAATTTCGTCTGTAAATTTTCCTAAAATATAATTTCACGGTCGGAATCTTAGATGTCGGAACTATGACTCCTGCCCATTTTGTTTTTTTGATTCATGTCAATACTTGCTTTGGTTAGTTTTTAAGAGCGAAATGAACTGATAACGATAAATTTGCAATTTTTTTAATTGTCATTACTTTTTGATGTAATTTTTTAATATGACGAGATGACGGTTTTGGTGATTATTGTCGTAACGTCATATTACACTGCGTTGCAAAAAAAAACGTTAAAGACTAATGATACAGTCCAGGTTTTAATAAACATTAATAACGATAACAGATAACTAACGATATATTAAAGAAAACATCTGTAATACTCCAGTATACAAACAGAAAAAACACATTTTAAAAATATCCTACTTATTACATTGTATTGCCGCCCTTGGCTCTTTAATTGCCTGTATACATCCGTTCATACTGTCATTGAGGCTGCATATATCATATTGCGTTATGTTTTACCATTCTTCTTTAAGGACCAAGCGAAGTTCATTTAATAAATTTGGTACGCTGGTACTGCTTCGCGACCTTTAACCCTCCTGCCAATCATTTGCCAAACGTCGAACATGATGGGTACTTCATAGTAGTATACATATAGTTCACAATAATCCTCAAAGCCGCCTTGTCATATTGAAAAATAACTTCAAAAAAGAAATGATAATTTTTTTTTGAAGTTATTCCGAGTTATTCCGAAGGCCAGGACAAGACACTAAACACATTAGACGATTAAATCTATTTTTCCAAGGATCCTTGATAAAAATTTGTGTTTTTAACATAGCCATAACAGAATGTCAAAAGTTGACATATGATATGTATTCAGAATATTATTTTTTATCGAATAAAGTAAAAAAATACCGACGGTGTCATTTCAAAATCAAAAGTTGTAGTCATTTCCGGTGAAACAGGAAGTGACCAAAAACAAATGAATACATCAGTCAATTCTAATTTATGTCACATAGTAACATACCAAATCTCGTTTTATTAACTGAAAAATAAAAAAGTTATAGGGGTGAACCATTTTTGAGACGGACGCGGTATAATATACAGGGTGCTTCAAATTTGAGGTACGAGCATCCGATTTTTCCAAAAAACTCAGCAATCCTTGAAATTTTTAAAACTTTTTTGATGGCATCTCATTGATGGCAATTTAACCATGTTCGTATCTATTACGCTTACCGAGATACCAATGCTTGTACCTCGAATTTGTAGCACCCTGTATAGATCCTAAAAAACTTTCAATAAACAAGTTGCGTGAATAGTCCCTGTTATAGTCCATGTATACAGGGTTGTTCACCACATACGACACGGAGTATTGTAGCTAAACGATTAGATTTTTACAAATTTTAAGTTTTGGGTTCGTTGAAGGACTATTAGAGCTACAATTTAGAAATAATTTTACAAGATACAGAGTGCCCCAAATAAGTAAAAAATGCTATAGTTGTGTTTTTTTAAATAGAACACCCTGTATGTTATTCTATTTTTAGATTCTACGATTGAAATAAAGGTAAATTTTATTAAGATTTATCACACTTAAACCTTACCGTTTTTGAAATATTTTCAATTTTTTGAAATTGCAGTAAAAATTTTAAGGCTTCATTTCTCCAAGGGTATCAATGTTTTTAATACTAAATATTTACTGAAGTTTATTTATTGGTCAGTTATTGTGTTGCAATAATAAAAATTATACTACCTTATACAGAGTGTCTAAAATTTTATTTTAAATAATTACTAGCTTTAAACGGCAATAACTTGTTTAATTTAAATGAAACACCCTGTATATTTTAGGAGAATCAGATGCATAATTTAATTGTCTATCAAATTGTATTATACCACTTTTTACCTATCCCTTCAAGTTTTCGTAGAAAATGCATTTTCTTATAATTTAGACCTCATTTATCAATATACCCATGGAATATTGACATTTTAGATTGTTTTTAAAGCAACAAATGTACAAAATGTACAGGCTAGTAATATTATCGTTTTTAGCAAAATGTAATATTATAGTAATATTATCGTTTTTATATATATTTATAGTAATATTATCGTTTTTAGCAAAATGATAATATTACTAGCTCATTTGTATGCAAAAAGAAAACTATTTAAATCTTTATAAAAAAGTATACCATTAATAATTACAATACCAACATTATTTCCACCCAAATACTAATTAATTACATACTTAATTATATTCGTGAATAAATTATTCTAAATAAATGTGGATTTGAATCAGAAATCAATATAATAATAAGCTATAAAAATGAATGTCTCTGTTGTTACAAATAAGCATTTGTCAAAAAATGAAATATCATTTTTAAGGTGTTACTTTTTACCACACTGTCTAATACACATAAAAAAATCAGTTTTTTAGTTTTTGGAGCAATTATTATTAATCAACGCAAACAGTCAATTAATGTAGTTTGAATACTGGAATCATATTAATTGGTCCTCTTTAACAAATATTTAAACAGTTTTTTTTTATTTTTTAATGAAATAAACAAACTATATCGACAATATTAGTATCTGTCCTCTTTAAAAATTTGGTACATCTTTAAGAATAATCTAAAATGTCAGTATTCCATGGGTATATTGATAAATGAATTTAAAATTACATGAAAATGCATTTTCTAGGGAAACTTAGGTAAATATATAGGCTATAGATAAAAAATGGTATAATATAATTTGATAGACAATTAAATTGTGCATCTGATTCTCATAAAATATACAGGGTGTTACATTTAAATTTAACAAGTTATTGCCGTTTAAAGCTAGTAATTATGTAAAATAAAATTTTAGACACTCTGTATAAGGTAGTATATTTTTATTATTGCAACACAATAACTGATCAATAAATAAACTTCAGTAAATATTTAGTATTAAAAATTTTGATACCCTTGGAGAAATGAAGCCTTAAAATTTTTACTGCAATTTTTTTTACTGCACAAAATTGAAAATATTTCAAAAACGGTAAGGTTTAAGTGTAATAAACCTTTATCAAATTTACCTTTATTTTAATCGTAGAAACTAAAAATGTAATAATATACAGGGTGTTCCATTTAAAAAAATACAACTTTGATAGTTTTTATTTATTTGGGACACTCTGTATCTTGTAAAAATATTTTTAAATTGTAGCTCTAATAGTCCTTCAACGAACCCAAAACTTACAATTTGTAAAAATCTAATCGTTTAGCTACAATACTCCGTGTCGTATGTGGTGAACAACCCTGTATATTCCAAATATACAATATTACCTATTATATCACATATCTACTAAATAAAGGAAATGAGATGCAGGAAAAAAAGTATCTAATTATCGCAGTAATAATAATCGCCTAATTAAAATTGTCGTTCCCGAAGCAGGTACGGTTTATAGCCACAGAACATAATAAGCAGGAACATCTTTGTGCTCCGATAACTCTCGCCGATATGGAATCGACATGTAACGGTTCTTTACGCTCAAGTAGGTTATTGTGGCGCGGCAAAGATCGCCATCGAAGAAAGCAAAAGTGTAATTGAGAAGAAAACGCGTGTTCGTGTAACGAACGGTAGGTAAGGGGGGCACCGAAACTCCCCCCTCATTGGTCGAAAATCGGGCTTAAAGATGATTTATTTTGTTGTAGGGTGCTTAGTTGTCTATTGGTGGGTTTAAATTTAGTCTTGACGATTGTTCCTGAGCTTCAGCCGCAGACACTGGTAGCATACCATAACAGTCGGTCAAAACACAACTCTTGTTTTTATTGTGTTGAGTGAGAATACTTTTAAAAGAACCTTTTTTCGAGGTAGGTATTAGAAGATGAACGTGTTTTTTTAATTGTAGTTTTCCTAGCGTGAGTGAATTTTAAATACTTTAAAGTAAATACTTGTCTATAACACTTTAAAAAATTGTGAAAAATTTGTGCTATCAATTGAATCAGTCCGTGTCGATTTACATTTATTTATAATTTTTAACGTTTTTCATTGACCTCATCTAAAAAATATCTATATCCAGATGAGGTAGACGAAAAAATATGTGAAACTAGTAATAATATTTAACTGAGATCGATTAACATTTTATTATTATTATTTTTATTTGTCTTCAAGTTTCATTCATTAATTTTAACTGCGCAAGTGACAATTTTTACTGTATTCTAAAACACATAAACGTTTTTTTTTTCTTTCAAACGTCACAAAAGTATTAATTTTTGCTACGCTATTGACAATATAAAAAAGTCATTTTAACGCCTAGGCATAAAAGTGAAGCACTTTTACGCCTAAGCACAAAAGCAAAACAAAAGTACGAAAATATATTATTAAAACTGACATAAAATGTCTACTGTCTTACTTAAATACTCTGTCTTACTTTAATTACATAGAAGGTATTACTTTTAAATATTTTTATATTATTTGGAACTCATAAAATTGTTTTTTCGGACTAAAAATGACTTTTGGTGCCTGCCGAGTCAAACCTACAGCTTCGCCGCAAAATGTGTCATTTTTACTCCTAATAGAACAATATACTATTTTTTCAAGCGTCACCAAAGTATTATTTTTTGCGACGTGACTGACAATATAAGAAAGTCATTTTAATATAGGCATAAAAGTAAAGAACTTTTACGCCTAAGCATAAAAGTACGAAAATTGTACGAAAATATATTATTAAACTGACATAAAGTGTCAAATTCAACAAGCGTAACCATAGTTTCTCGATATATAATTACATACAAGGTATGACTTAAATCTTTTTATATTATTTGGAAAAGTTTGAAATTGTTTAAAAACTTATTTGGTGGCGATTGAAAAAAATAACATGTTCTATTAGGAGTAAAAATGACTTTCTGTGCCTCGGCTGTCCTGTAAGCCAAACGTACGGCCTCGCAACAAAAAGTGACGTTTTTACTCCTAATAAAACATAAGTTTAATAAAAAATAAATAAAAATAAATAAATACTTAAAATAAGTTTTATATTAGTGGATAAAATCATAAATATTACATTTTTGTGAGTAGGTACTTACTGGCTCATTTTTTAACGAAAATGGAAAGTATGAATCCGCCTTGGTTAACCAACAAATCTAAATAACATTAAATAAATTAAGTAAATAAAGTAATTACCTATAAAACATTTTATTTTTTTCATAATAATTAATAGAAATATTACTGATTGGAATTTTATATGGCAACTTTGAATAACCATATTTTTCTTTAATTTTTATAACATATTTGGTATGGTAAGGGGGGCACCGAAGCTCCCTTCTTATTGGTCGAAAATCGGGCTTAAAAATGATTTATTTTGTTTTAGGGTTGTGAGTTGTCTAATAGTATTTAAATTTAGTTCTGCCGATAGTTCCTGGAGCAGACACCAGACCTGCAGCAGACAACAGACACTGGTAGCATACCACAACAGTCGGTCAAAACACACTTGATTTTACTGTGTTGAGTGCGAATCTCTAGAAGAGTTTAAAGAACTTTTTTTCGAGGTAGGTATTAGAAGATGAAGGTGTTGTTGAAGATTTTTTATATACAGGGTTGTTCACCACATACGACACGGAGTATTGTAGCTAAACAATTAGATTTTTACAAATTGTAAGTTTTGGGTTCGTTGAAGGACTATTAGAGCTACAATTTAAAAATATTTTTACAAGATACAAAGTGTCCCAAATAAGTAAAAAATATTATAGTTGTATTTTTTTAAATGGAACACCCTTATATTATTCTATTTTTGGATTCTACGATTGAAATAAAGGTAAATTTAATTAAGGTTTATAACACTTAAACCTTACCGTTTTTGAAATATTTTCAATTTTATGAAATTGCAGTAAAAATTTTAAGGCTTCATTTCTCCAAGGGTTTCAAAGTTTTTAAAACTAAATATTTACTGAAGATTATTTATTGATCAGATATTATGTAGCAATAATAAAATTTTTACTACCTTATACAGAGTGTCCAAAAATTTATTTTATATAATTACTAGCTTTAAACGACAATAACTTGTTTAATTTAAATGGAACACCCTGTATATTTTAGGAGAATTAGATGTACAATTTAATTGTCTATCAAATTATATTATACCATTTTTTACCTATCTCGTTAAGTTTTCGTAGAAAATGCATTTTCTTATAATTTAGACCTCATTTATCACTATACCTATGGAATATTGACATTCGACATTTTTTTGAAGCGACATACATATGTACAAAACATACAGGTGGTGAATATTGCAAGCCTATTGGTATACAAAAAAGCTATTTAAATCTTTGTAAAACAGTATACCAATTAAATATACCACCATTATTTTCGACCAAAAATTAGTTAGTTACATACTTTTAAATTATTTTAGTTAATAAAGTATTCTAAATAAATGTGGATTTGGCTCAGAAATCAATATAATAATAAGTTTTGAAAATGAACGTCTCTGTTTTTATAAATTAGCATTCGTCAAAAAATGAAATAAAATTTATAAGGTGTTACTTTTTACTACAGTGTCTAATATACACACAAAATTCAGTTTTTCAGTTCTGAAGCAATTATTATTAATCAACGTAAACAGTCAATTAATGTAGTTTGAATACTGGGATCATATTAATTGGTCCTCTTTAACAAAAAATATTTACAATTACAACAGTTTTTTTATTTTATTTTTTAATGAAATAAGCGAACTATATCGACAATATTAGTGTCTGTACTCTTTGAAAATGTGTTACATCTTTAAAAATAATCTAAGATGTCAATATTCCATGGGTATAGTGATTAATGAGGTCTAAATTATAAGAAAATGCATTTTCTACGAAAACTTGAAGAGATGGGTAAAAAATGGTATAATACAATTTGATAGACAATTAAATTGTCCATATGATTCACGTAAAATATACAGGGTGTTCCATTAAAATTAAACAAGTTATTGCCGCTTAAAGCCAGTAATTATTTAATATAATTTTGTGGACACTCTGTATAAAGTAGTAGAATTTTAATTATTGCAACACAATATCTGATCAATAAATAATCTTTAGCAAATATTTAGTTTTAAAAACTTTGATACCCTTGAAGAAATGAAGCCTTAAAATGTTTACTGCAATTTCATAAAATTGAAAATATTTCAAAAAGGGTAAGGTTTAAGTATGATAAACCTTAATCAAATTTATCTTTATTTTAATCGTAGAATCTAAAAATAGAATAATATACAGGGTGTTCCATTTAAAAAAATACAACTATAATATTTTTTACTTATTTGGGACACTCTGTATCTTGTAAAAATATTTTTAAATTGTAGCTTTAATAGTCCTTCAATGAACCCAAAACTTACAATTTGTAAAAATCTAATCGTTTAGCTACAATACTCCGTGTCGTATGTGGTGAACAACCCTGTATAGTTTTCCTAGCGTGAGTGAATTATAAATACTTTACTTGTTTAATTAAAAAGTACTAGAGTAGACTACTAAGTAGTACTGGAGGAGTACTGAAAAATTTACTTTTTTAATTACTTACTTGAAAAATTTACTTCTTTGATATAATACTTTAAAAAATTGTGCATCAGTCGTATCAGTTAGTGTTGATTTATATTTTTGTTTATAATTTTCAACGTTTTTCAACACTTTATTGACCAAATCTGAAAAATATATCTAGAGTTAGACAAAAAATAACTGAAACTAGTAATAATATTAACTATGGAACCTGTTAACATTCTATTATTATTATTTTTATTTGTCTCCAATTTTATGTGTAAAGTTTTATTCATTAACTTTAACGGCACACGTGACTTTTTTATTATATTACAGGGTGAGTCTTAAACAATTTCAAATGTTTTCAGGGCTTGTAGATCTTGATAAAAGAAACATATTTTCTCTTTACCGTTTTCCAAATAAGTCCAAAATAATCGAGTTATTTTACTTTGAAAATTAAAAAAATATATTTTTTTGCTTAAATTTTGAGAACCAATTTTTATCTTTGAATTTCATTTCAATAATCAATTTAATCTACTTACTACATATCTGCTGATTATGCTAACGTAGTTAGCGAAATGCGCGTCCAGTGCAAAAGTAAAGTGTTTTGGTGTATTGTGGTTGAATTAGTGTTTTATTTTATCTGTGTTACTACATTATCAAGATATTGTGTTTTCGAAATATACAACACCTAAAATATTTACACTTATTTAAGACTCATCCTGTATAACAAGAACGCTTTTCTAGTCTAGTTTTGTATTTTAAAAGTACATAAAACCATAAATACTACAATTCGGTGATTACTGGTTAGCTAAAATACGGATTAAAGAAAAGCTAAAATACAAATCTGTCTTAGTTATCTAGCAGATGTAAATAAATAATAGTTATTTTTTATACAAGACGATAAAATGGTATTTTATCTGACTCGAAAAGATTAATTCACGAGTCGACTGAAAAGATTAATTCACGAGCGATGAAATCGCGAGTGAATTAATTTCGGGAGACGATAATTCAATTTTATCGTCGCGTCGTGTATAAAACAATATTTTTTTCCATAGCTAGTTACGTTTTAAGAAATATTCAGAAATTATTTATTTTATTTCAAGGAATTTATTACCAGTAGAAAAAATATTGTGCTGGGTTGGCGTTGGTTTCTATGTAATTTGACAAATAAATAAAGCTGTCTATTTAGTTGTCAGTTTTGAGTCAATATTTTTTAATTCTCTGTCGTGTTGATTGCTGATTGAAATGGAGCCAGAAATGGCTCAAAACGCAATAAGTAAATTACCAACAGATATTCAGGCTGAGGCGACAAACGCCATATCCAAGCTACTTCCATTTAAATCCCGAATAACTTATGAAAAGGAATAGAAACATTTTCAAAAATGGAAGCAATTAAAATATGTGCGAGGAGAAATAAAGTTTTTAACCTATCCTCGCTGTTAAAGTATCATTTAATCTATCCTCTGATCTACCCTTGCGGTTAAAGTATATACTATTTTATCTATTTTTGATAGATATAAGGCAATTTTAACAGTTGCTATGGAAAAAAATATATTTCTTTTTCCTTTTCAAAAATAGGGTAGAATTCTACAGAATTATATTTCAGTAATGAAATTTAATCATTTGTAATCGCTTTATATTTGAATTTAATTTTGTTTTTCATTCGGAGATTTTTGTATTTGTGTGTACCTTTTTCATTATTAATATTGGATACTTTGTACTTTTTTCAGCTTTGAATTTTTAATTATGTTGCGGTTGAAATTTTATAGTTAAATGTTTAGAAATTGGTATAATTTATTCAATAATTATAATAAATAATTCTAAATATTTTGAATTATACATATACCGGGTGCGTCTCAAAAGTGGCTCACCCCTATAACTTATTTATTTTTTCAAATAAAAAAACGAGATTTGGTATCTTAGTATATGACATAAATTAGAATTGATTGACGTATTCAATTGTTTTCTGTCACTTCCTGCTTCGCCGGAAATGACTACAACTTTTGATTTTTAAATGGCACCCTAGGTATTTTTTTACTTCATTCGATAGAAAATGTCATTCTGAATAGAATGACATATCATATAGCAACTTTTGACATTTTTACTTAAAATAAAATTGAATTTTAAATTTCAATCTAGAGTGCCATGGCTGTGTTAAAAACACTAATTTTTAATCAAGGAGCCTTGCAAAAAATAGATTTGATTGTCTAATGTTATTCGTGTCTTGTCCTGGCTGGTTAAAAGTTGTCCAAATTGTATTTTTAATCATATCTCAAAAATTTCAAATGGAACGAGGGTGGCTGATAAGCATATTTGGAAAAAGCATTTTTTTACAAATAATTTGGTACCACACACTTGGTATTGCGAGTCAAATTGTCGTTATGAATCGCATGTTGCAATTTCTAATAAACCATATTCGAAAATGGCAAAGTTGACATATGATATGTCATTCTATTCAGAGTATCATTTTCTATCGAATAAAGCAACAAAAAACCGTGGGTACCATTTAAAAATCAAAATTTGTAGTCATTTCCGGCAAAACAGGAAGTGACAGAAAACAATTGAATACGCCAATCAATCCTAATTTATGTCATATATTAACATACCAAATCTCAATTTTATATCTGAATAGATAAAAAAGTTATAGGGGTGAGACACTTTTGAGACGCACCCGGTATATGAGTGAAAACAAAATGATGTTACTTTGGCGAAAGTAAGTGGAATGGTGTTGAAAACAAAGAACTTTTCTTTGTCCATCTCAATTACTTTTATTTTCATTAGAGATATTCACTTTTAAAGAAGACAGTAATGGTTTACATTAAATATAGCATTAAAAGACATGCCTTTGCTTTTGGTCCCCATCGACACATCTGTAAAGTAGACAATTTTTTTTAACAGCAGCATTTCTTTTAAACTGTTAGGTGGCAGCAGATAAAAAAATAACACTCTAGAAAATAAAAAATTAGTTTCTCTACGGTTTTGATTATTTGTCTCTATATTATTGAGACTCCGTTATGTAGATTAAAAGACGAACGAAA